TTTTTCACTGACTGTTAAAAACAACAATGGGGTTTCTGTGTTGTACTCCTCCCTTTTAATTACTAAGCTCTACCAGAGTAAGCTGTTGCCTTTGGAAAAATATCTGAAGTAATCATTAAAACTGTCAGTTATATAATTTCCCTCACAGGCAGATCAAATACCTCTTCATTATTCAGTAATTAATTTAAGTAAATAGCTAACCAAAACATACACTCATTTTTATCTTACCAAAGCATGACAAACATTACAGTAAGAAATGGCTTTGGGATTGAATTGCATCATAATTGAAGTGTTTCTCACCAACAAATGAAAAGTTTATATTTTAAGCAAAATGTGGTGGTGTTGAGGGAACTCTTTATTAAAGGTGTTTTATACTCTGTATCACCGAGTTTCTCACAGTTTCTCTGTATGGAACTCAACTTCCACTGTATACCACCTGCTTACAGTGAGCGTTCATCTTGGGCTATGACTAGACTTGGCTAAAGTGATTTTCCCATTACAAAAAATGTTTTTCTGGACACATGATAGTTCCGTGCTTACCTACCTTCCCTAAGGTTTTAAAAGGCCGTTACGAATAATGTTTCCTGGTTTGTTTAATATTTCCTTTTACAGACTTTTACCACATTGTGACAAGAAGATATACAGTATGGATGATATCCATTCAAATAAGTCCCCCTGAAAATATAACTTGGATAATGAAACAAATAGGATTATTTGTTGTCAATTTAGTCCTCATTGTGCACCTGGGCAAGAAATTCATTCAGTAGCGTGTCATGGCAGAAATTGAATCATTACCATGTTGGACTGACGTCTTCTGTAGGAGTGACTAACTGAAAAGACTTTCAACAAAAAAGTAAATGCCCTCAGTGCTGGCAAACAGGAACTGTCAAGAATACTGAACTTGCTTTTCTAGTCTAATGTAAAAAAAAAAGTTTTACAGCTTGTGAAAAAATGTATGCCATCTGTAAAAACAAAGAAACAAGTTATATTGTATCTCTGTGGAATTAGATTCTAAAAACAAAGCTAAGAGTTGAGTATAAATATTTTGATAACTCATTTTTCCATTATGCTCATTTAAAGCTTACGATTCTTAGTATAAAGCCTGTGTATAATTGCAGTACAGCTTAACAAATACATCTTCATATACAGTAACAGGTAAAGTTGCTGCCTGCAGGTAAGAAGTGGAACGATGAAGCTGGTCCTTGGGACAGCAATGTTGACATGAAGACCTGTTCCTCATAGCTCGGTGTTGCTGTTCTCAGAGTTCCATTAGAAGCCTTCCTGTCCACTAAAATGTTCTATGCAGATGAAAGAATGAACACCGGCCACAGCTCATGAGAAAGTTTTCCATTATCCAAAGGCGGGACAGGTCTTGGCCTTTTCCTTGCTCATTTGTTTGAATTAATGCGCTAAAAGCTTTGGAACGATGACAGATCAGTTGTGTTATTATTTGGGCTGTCTCTTTGGCGGGCTCTGTTTTCCGTGTTGTCGGGGGGGGGAGGTGTTGGCCAAACAGTCCTGAAAAGCAGAAAGCTAAATGTATGATGTAACAGCAGTTAAGGGCAGCACTGGTGACTTGTGAAGTGTTGTTGTTGATCCTGTGGGTCTCCGACAGTGACAGTTTGACGTCCCTCTTACATCAAAAGCCGCCCAAGTCTCCAGTCTAGGCCTGAGTTTTCTGCCTCTTTCTTCCTTCCTGCCCTTCATACCCTACAGGAGGGTCCCCCTTTGCCTTTCCTGACTGGAGGGGAGGGGAGACTGTAGCCTGCCATCTAGCAGCTCTGTGACAGCTCTCCTGGGTGCAGTATTTTCCTCTTTCCCGCACTGGTTAGTCAGATCTCCTGGTCATGCCTGGCAGTCCTGCATTAGCCAACTTCCTACTCTGCCAGTGCCTCTGCTTTGCCCTTTTTCTACTTCTTTAGGATTGCTTCATTAGCTTTCTCTGTCTTTGTATCTTCAGCCTTGGGGAAAGTTCTGAATATCAGTGAAAGTCATTTTTGTTTGAAAAAAAAAAAGCAGACTTAAAAGGCCCAGATCTCATGCAGTCCTTCCCCCTAATGCTATAACAGGACACCTTTTGATTTCCACACCATGAGGCTCTACAATGCGGGAAGATGTTGTTGCTGTCAAGGTGGATTGGATTGGTCTGGATCACATGTTATTATTTGAATTAATTTATTGGTGTGGCTTCAGAAGAGAAGGACCTTTTCTAGAATATTCTGATTTGAGGGTTCCTTCCCTTTCTCATCAGCACACGCATAATACCTTGTTCGTCTTTCCCAAACCCTCTCAGAAGCAAGCAAGCGTTTTTAATGTCATATTTATAAGGTGCTGTGAAGACTTGTATCTGACTGTCATATTAGTAAATTCATTAGCCAGAGGCAAGGAAAGAAATGTCTGTTTATCCCATTTTCAGTGTAGGTATTTGTTCTGTTTGTCTTAAGCCTGCATGTTAGATTTTCTTTTCTGAATTTAATTTGATCAATAAAACGTAAGGTAAACATGTCTACTTTGTCAATCTTGCACTTACAGAGGCACATAGTGTACAGTGATTTTTCTTATATGAAATTGTTTTATGCTTGTTAAAATTACTTAATTTGGCTGTAAGAAAATCTTTGCTAGGGACTGTAATGGATTTCTGAACATATTAATACAGCCAGTATTTTATCCAGGTACTTTGTCAGCAAAACATATTAGTGTCTTTATAAAACACTATTTTAAATCATGCCCTGACTGCTATGAAAACAAGTGATGTTTTAAAAGCTCTAAGTTAAACCCCTGTTATGATGATATATGTTACTTAATCCATAGCCATTTCTGGAACACATTGTGAATTTAGTTCACATTGAAGTAATTACTTTGTATACCGAGCGCCTAACAGCGGTTCTGTGAACATGATATCATAATACATTTTTTTTTGTGTAGAGGAAATTTATGACACAATGAAAATCTCAGAACAATAATGACCTTTCATAGCCATTTTAAAAATTGAGGTTTCAAAGACATGTCTAATGCTATATACTGTAGTACATTCAAGAGAATTGTCATGTCAGTATGTCAGTAGTGTGACTTAATCCTCCAACTGTAAAACCATTGGTCAACATGAGTACTTAAATTTCCTTAGTTTTCCATCAGGGATAAATATTTCTATGTGATTGCTGAAGTAAACAGATTTGCCATACTATATAATGAAACACTGATGGCATTCTTAAAGTGTAAGCTAAGCATATGGTTCTATAAAGCCTTAGATGTACATGGTAATATGCAGTCCTACAGGTTGAGATATATGGATGATTCTATACAGTCCTATCATTTAAGATAGAAGTATGTACATTTTCTATATAGTCCTACAGTTTGTGTTTTGTACATGGTTCTATATAGTTCAAGAAGCTGAGATATGTACATTTCTCTACAGTCCTACTCTCTCTGGATCTAGACGGTCCTGCAGTTTGAGATATGTATTTGGTACTGTACTGAAATATTTCTTACTTCTTTATTTCGATGGCAGCTTTAAATAAAACTGTAAAGTAAATGTAAGGGGTAAATTTGGAGGCCACAAATAAAAAGGTGTTTTATGTACAGTAGATTAGTAGATCTCATTAAGGCCTTGTGGTTAACTTTCACATCAATATGGGGAGACCAAGGCTTAATTACACAACTGATTTCTTAACCTGAAGAAGGTTTTGCCTGTAATTATTGTCCTTGCAAAACCTTCTGTCATTTTCTCCTGCCAGGTGGGCGGATTTAGTCGCTGCACTTTGTCCCACTGTCGTTACCCACTCTCGGCTGGTCTCAGGAAACACCCTGGAGCGCCAGGAGCAATCGGGCCTAAGCCAGTATTAATTAAAGGATCTGATTTGTAAAGGGAGTTCAGGGCATCAGGGGTTCTTGGGCTCTGAGACAAAGGGGGTTTGATGCTAAAATACAAAAGGTATCCACATTATCAAGCCAGGGCTGGCTTTTGAAGGATTGTTATTATTGTTTTCTTACCCATTAGATATTTTTGTATTTCTAAACATTTTCTGAATCCAAAGGTCTTAAGAATATTTCATTCAAATCATGTTTTTTAGCTGCCTAGAGCTTTATGTGTTTTAAATGGAGTGTATTCAAGATCAGGCTCAGACTGAATACTGTTGCATCAGGATTTGCATTCTGTCTGTCTGTCGCTGTGTCTTTCTGAAAGAGAAAGCCATAACATAATTTCTGATTTCATTTGTTATAGGTATTAGAGATGATGAGAATCTTTGTTTTGTGTTGGAGTTTCTGAGTTGAACAGTGTTTGCGAGCTGCTTTTATTCGGTCTTGATAAGAGAAATGTTACAGAAAATACTGTGTTCTTCTGAAATGATTTTCCAAATACAAAAGTGGTGTAGTAGCCAGGACCTGATTTCGGTGAACTGGCTGCTCAACTGTGTCTAACTTGACAGTAGCTACTTCAGTAACCGGAAACTGCATTCCTAGTGTCTCTTTAAAACAAAAAGTCTGGGGGCCTGAATGCCATCTGTGAGCCATACATAAATGTCACTTGTGCCAACAAAACAAAATAATGGGCTGTATTTCTTTCCAGTGTTATTCATAAATGATATGTCTGTTTATGAGAGGAGAATGGCTTGTAATCAACTCTTTCAGTACATCTATTTATATATAGTTTTTGGATTATTTAGTGCTGGACTTCTGCTGACCTTTTCAGCATCCTGCATTATGCTTTTGGTCATGGGGGAATATCTCTCATCTTTAATTTGACATTTATCCTGTTGATAATGAAAGCTAAATAGTGTTGCTTCCTTCAGGGGTTGTGAGGGTCAGAGAGCAGTCCACTGAAAGCCTCTGTGCCAGGGCAGAGTTTCTTCCTCTGGCCCACTTTTGTGTAAATCACAAAGCTGCTCCTGCTGTCACTCGGCCTGCCACTTGGCAACACTGAGCAGGACTGCTTGAAATCGGCTGGGTTTCTCAGTAACACCCACAAAGGTAAATCCAACATGGCTGTAGTATCAAAACTGACCTGGGTTTAAAGGGGTTTTGTTTTCCATGTTTCAGCTGAGGACTTCCAATGTATTGGAGGATTAGATAAATGAAAAGCCCATTAGACGTTCACGTCAAAACCTTCTAACTGTTAGGTTTATGCACCAGCGTGTCAGAAAAAGGTTCTTCTTGGCAGCGTGGAGAAGCAGGTAAAGAAGTGATTGTTTTCCTCGTTTTCTGAAAAGAAGGAGCTCTTTTTAAAAACTGAACCAGTTTCAAGGAATTCAGTTCCTGTATTTCAAAAAACAATCAAATTTAAATCAAAAGCAAAAAACAAACGTTTTTTCGATACACTGCAGGCTAGTTTCAAGCTGTAGGATAAATGTATGTTAATCTCTTACTAAATAAGACAAAGTTGTGTAATAGAGGAGTAAAAAGCTTTCGGGACATTTCATTATAACTCTCTACCACTACAATGGCACACTTCAGTATTATAAAAGGACCTTTGACATATTGTGTGGTTTAACTGTAGTAAACGGAACCATTTTATTATTGAAGAGTTTTTAATTGTTATTAAAATCAAGAAAGTATCAAAAAGTGTCTAGGAACTCCTGAAGGTTTTTTTTATAACAGTGTGACTGCTGTATACAAATATATAATTGAAAAGTACATTTCTTTGTTTGACTCAAGGTTTATAGATATAAAAATAGGCCAAAAACAGAAATGTTATAATGGTTTTCAAAACTTCAGATGCATTAGAAACATCCTGAAATTATTTATTTTAATTATTTAAACTAGATGTAAAATATAAAACTTATTTTTCTTTAACTAGATCCTCCTGTTAGTCTGACATGTGGGGTGATAAAGTTTCCAGTTTAAAATGTTTTAGAAGTTATATAATTTGTTATAAATAATTGCTGTTGATGAAGTTCATGCCAATATTGTTGTCAATGAATACAACAAGTTATTGATTGGTTTGTGTTATTTGATTTGTTTTTACTGGTTTTGATTGTTCAGAATCAACTGCAGTAATTTCATGTCGTCACTAGAGGGCACAGTAAACTTACCTGGAAAGGAACTACATTCACAATAAAGTCGGTTTGATAAACAATAGTGGGTAACACAAATGTACACTGTGCAGTTTTTGCAGATAATCAGTTTGGTGCTCACTTCTTCATTGTATTGGAGCCAATAAATGAGAGCAAATGCCATATTCAGATTTTGTGTGAATCTCCCAAATCTACTAAACCTATCCCAAACTGTTCTTCAGTGTAATTATTTTATGTACTTTGCCTTCATACATTGTATTTATAAGCCTAAGTAAATATGTGAAATCCCTGACCTAAATCTTTAGTATTTGTTACTTTAAATATTTAGGAGTTCCTTCTGTAACATACATGAGAAAGTGTAATTGGGATTGAGAATAGAAAGAAGTTCTTTATATAAATGGTGTTGGGTGTATGGTACAGGTTTCCAAGACATGTTGTTGAAGCTAATTCCTTGAGAAACTTATAGACATAGCCGGATAAGACTCAGATTATTGAAATATTATTAACCAATGGAAAGAGATGTGTTCAATGACCTCATCTTGTTTGTAACTTTCTAATGTTGTTATATATTTTTTTAAATTGACAATCAAAGGTCATTGATATAATCATGAGCTTTAAGATAACATGAGACAGATCAGTGAAATCTATTGATGGAGTCCGCTATTTTAAGAGGAAATTATTTAATTGCACAGTGTTTTTAAATGTATATTATAAAACATTTTTCAAAAGTAGTAGGGAGGAAACCAACAAACATGGTCTACCTAACTATAAATAATTAAGGGGAAAAATAAAAGATTCTTCCTTTTTATATTTTGTTCACTGTAGTTTACCATAAAATATAAAGCAGAAATCTGTCCACAGAAGATCTGGGACGGAGGGGAGTTAAGACCTTTTCAGTTGAGCTTCCGAGCAGTTTGAAGGAGCAGTGAGAAAAGGCTCTGTATGTAGGGAGCAGTGAACCTATTCAAATGTAAGGCTTAACTTTACTGCAGAAGTGGGACATAAAGCTGACTGAAAACACATCTTAATCAGTCCCAGATACCCACTGAGTGGACCAATTTTTTTTCCCTTAGATATCATTATAATTCTTAAGATGTCTCTGGTGCACAATTCGTATTTGTTATGTAGCCGTAGAGACTAAAATACTCCTTCTCCATTCTGCATTTTTGTTCATACAGAGACGCCTACAATATTAAACTAAGAAAACCTAAAATATAACGCTAGTATCCAGCATTCCCACAGTTCTTGTGCAATTATGGTATAAATATCAACCGTCTGCATCACCATCTGCATCCAACTTGGTGTGACGTACAAGGCCAATCTAATATACCAGAGACGCATATGTTGGGATCTGCCGTACTCCATTTTGTGCCCAGTGATTCTGTCACAGGTGTATTTTGTTCCAGTCATGTCCTGCTTATTTTAATATGACAGAGCTCTATTATGGCCTCATGATCAGGAGAACGTTAAACCGAAGCTGTATTCCTGAAAGGAACCTTCATCAAATCAAGAAGAACCATTTTTTCCATTGCATGGAGTCTTCCTTTTTTGGGAGATGTCGTTTATTATTTTTTCAGCATACCTTTCAGTGAATAATAATATGGTTGCTACTATATTCGATTTTGATTAGTATTCCACTAGCATGAATTTGAATTCCGTTTGAGAGTTCTTCAAAAGCCTCAAGATAGTATCCTGTGCATATTAATGCTTTCAAAGGATGTGTGGATTTCATAATTCTATAAAATGTCATCTTATATTTTAAATGTATTTTGGCTTTAATTGATGACTTAGTACCAGAAAAAGATGCAGTTTTTCATCCAATGATTCCCATTAATATGGGAAGATCAGGGAATTTACAGTATAAACTTATTTTTTTCTTGTTAGTGGTCCTCATTAAGATCAGAGCCTCTTCAGTGCTTTACATGTATTCAGACAGCTGCTAGCCAGTGACAAAAAACGTTAAGAATTTATATTGTCAAATTGGTCAGTGGACTACCATAGATTCCTGAAAAATGGTTGTGCTCTATGCCTGCTTTTTTCTCTGTATTTATATGAAGTATACACATATAAAACATTTTAAGCTATCACGGTTGTCTTCTGAGCATGACTTGGTGATAAAATGTGTCACTTTTGTCTTCCAGCTTGTGTCTGTACCATATCTAATGCATGCTTTAAAAGCTATAAGGAATTTCCTGACATTCACTTGGTTTGAAGCTGTCCCTTTGCCTGTGGAGACTCTCATTGCTTAACTTAATTAAATATCTATGTCAGAATCTCCTGGAAAGGGTCAACAGTGAGTGACCTTTATATGTCCCTTGAGCAGCAATTGTTGAATGTGAACATTAGTACCTAGTAGGTGGGTAAATCATTACAGTCACAGAATGATCGGATACTTTTTTAAGGCGTGCTGGAGGTCGGGAAAAAAATAGGCACACAAACTAAAGTGACATTTAAAAGTTACAGCTAGGTACTTAGACAGGCAAGCGTGTAGATGGAAAGAGAACATATATGTTAAAAAAACCTGAACTGGCACAAAGCCCTTGAACAGAGGGTTAGGTATTAGAAATTGACTTAAGTCTTCTTCCAAGCACTGAGTGTTTATAAAGGATGGGTTACTCTGAAAATAGATGGAAAGGCAGGTTAAGTTAGGAATAAAAAGGGATTACTCTGCTGTATGCCAACATACCTTATATTTTATATGCTTTATCGAACATATTGTTTTTAAACGTTTTCTATGTAACCTAGAATATTTTAAAAGATTGAGTGTTTTAATCGTTTTGAAAGCGGAATTGGAGAAGGAGTTACAAAAGGTTTAGTGTACCTCAGTAAGTCCTTACTTTACTCCAGCAAAGTTATAACCTAATTATTCCTCCAGCGCATATGTCTGTGTAATGCCAAGCACCCATGGTATCTCGAAATAGCTAAAAGGTTAGGTACATGTACCCAAAGATTCTGGCCATACTGCAGTCCTGCTGTCATGCAGTGAAATATCTAAATATATTAGCATGAAATAAATAAAAATCAGATAGTACCAAGCTTTTGTACTGTAAAAGGAATAATGTTCCAGATGCAGTAGCCATCTGTCTTACTACCATTGCATTTTTCCCTTGGTTCGTAGTGTTAACTGTGAAATAATTGTATTGTAAAAGTACTTTTGTTAATGACATAATTTTTTTTCATGTTTTTCCTCCACTGCTACCCACAGAGAGAACATTTTCTTAACATTTTAGCCCCTTGTCGCATTATTTTCTTGCTATGGGCGAGCAAATATGGTTTAATTAAGATTTTTATAAATAATTAATGCTGAATATCGTTAAGCACTTGACTCCGTATTGTGAGCATGATGAAATGGAAGGCATTATCTGTGGTGAAAGCTGGGCACAGCCTTGCACTCTGTGAAAGTGCCTCATTAGCGCTCAGCCAGTATTTGTTTTTAGTTGGTTAATCTAGTCTTAAAATGCAGTAACCTCTACACAGACAGCCGGAAGGGCTTTATGGAAAGGAAGCCAGGCTGAAGTTGAGCCTGTGGAGCAGGGCCATACAGAGAAGTTCTCGGACAAAAATGGCAGGCCCGAAACACCTCTGCATCAATTTAGAGTGCCAAAGATAATGAAGCCATTTAGGGTTCTTATTTGCTGTTTTACAACTTGTTTTATGAAGGTGCATTGACAAGAAGCTCCTATAATGGTTCCTGTCAGTTTAACGGACAGCGTTACCAAAAGAAAAGGACCAAAGAAATGCAGAGGACAGGAGACTGGGCTGAATTGCTTGTCTTTGATGACGTTTTAGCTCCAGGCTATCATTTTACATTTTATGTCAGTTACCTTTGTCAGGGAGTCATTATTGATGCTGAACTCTGTTTTAATTCCCACTTCTCTGCTAATCAATTACAGCGTTTATCCATTAATCAAGCATACTGGCAGGCTTAATAATAGCCCTTTCGTTTAATATGTGCTTCTGGTAAAGGCTAGAGACAAGTGTTGAACATTCAGATTATGGCATTACTGTATCCTTCACTGTCATCTTGCGCCTGGAGAGAAAAGGGAACACAAAACTTTCAGTGTGTGTTCATCGTCTGTAACTCTTAGAAATAACTGCCAATAGACTTTCTGAAAGTGTTGGTACTGAGGCTTCCTAAATGCTGGCAAGTATAAAGATCT